CTTTGTCGTTAATTGTTTTGAGTTTGGTGTCAGTATGAAGGGTGTGATTAGACACGTAGGGTGGTGCGTTCATTATTTTTCGGAGAGCGATATTTTGAAATGTTTGAATTTTCAGAATATTAGACTTTTTAGCATTTCCCCAGAGTTGGAGTCCGTATGCCCAAATGGGTTTAAGAAGTGTTTTGTAGATCAGAATTTTGGTTTTAATGAGGGTATAGTTATTGCTTATTAAGGGTTTGAGGATACGAAGACGATAATTTAGTGCTAATCTTTTGATTTTTATGTGATGAGCCCATGTTAACCTTTGGTCGAGAGTAATCCCGAGATATTTGATCTTTGGAGAGAAAGGGATAGGAATACCGTATAGAAAAACTGTGGGACAGGAAGCATGTTTGAGGGTGAAGGTAGTATGTATAGATTTGCTTTGGTTTACTTTGAATCGCCAGTTAGTAAACCATTTTTCCATGTAGTTAAGGTGAGTTTGGAGATTGTATGACGCTATGAGTGGATTATTGGCAATAGATATTATTGCTTTGTCGTCAGCGTAGTCTGCTACGGATGTATTGGGGGTAGTTGGTTGATCAGAAGCGAAGACATTGTTCAGAATAGGAGACAAAATGCCCCCTTGGGGAACACCAGCCTTGATAGCTGCTACGTCAGATAACGCAGAACCGTAGCGTATTTGAAAATGGCGATCAGTTATATAGGATTTAATAAGTAAGTAGTAGGTGGGAGGCATGAATTTCTTAATTTTATACAAAAGCCCGTCATGCCATACGCGGTCAAATGCTTGTGAGATGTCTAGAAACACGCAATTGCAGAACAGTTTTTTTTTCCAAGGAATACGAAATGGAGTCTACTACTCTGTGTGCTTAATGAACATTCGAATGGGAAGCGCGAAACCCAAATTGGGTGTTAGGAAGAATATTTTTGTCAGTAATTATCGGGAAGATTCGTTTCAGAATTAACCGTTCCTTTATTTTTCCGAAGAAAGGGAGAAGGCTGATTGGACGGTATGATGAAGGTAGGTCAGGAGGTTTGTTTGGATTTTGGAAATAAGATTATAGTTGCGAATTTCCAAAGTAGTGGAAAATAGGAAAGTCTGTGTGAGGCATTAAATATATGAGTGATGTGAACTATGGCTCTAGTTGGAAGGGATCTGACTACTTCCGCAGTTATGCAATCGTAGCCTGGTGATTTTTTTAGAGCATATTTTTGTATAGCATATTTTACATCATTAGATGTGAATGATTTGACTGGGTGAGATACTGGAAGGGGGGTGTTTAAGAACATTTTGACTTGATTCATGTTTTCAACGTCTATGATATTAGCGTGTGGTTGAAAGGTGTTAGCAAGATGATCCTTAAAAAGTTCAACTTTTTCGATATCCGAAGTAGCTAAGCTACCATCAGGTTTTTTAATAGGGAGATTTGGAGGTTTATAGCGAAGTATTTGTTTTGTTTCTTTCCATAGGCTATCGTCTAAGGAAGTGAGTTTCATTAATTGATTTTGCCATATGTTTGACTTAAATTCAGTGAGCAGTTTTTTTTAGTGAATTAGCTAGTTTATTGTAATTATGTTTATGGGAAGGTAAGCGCGTGCGTTGGTATAGAGCTCTTGCTCTTCTTTTTTCTACAATTCTACAATCTACAATTCTAACCTTCAGGAAGTGAGCTTGGAGAAGGAGGTGCTAGTATTGTATTAGTAGCCGACCATGCTGTGGTTTGTATTATGTTTGTAAGATTGAGGACCGCTAGGTCTATGTCATTGGGTGATTTTAATTTTGAGTTTAACTTGATTTTTGTGTTGACTAGTTCGTGTAATTTAACATTATCTGTGAATTTGTTAAATAATTTGTTGTATTCTTTAATAGAAGGGGAAGTACTGAGAGTTAGTAGTATTGATGAATGGTCAGAATTTAAATCGAGTAAGTTTTTAGTAGAGTGGAACAAGGTGTTCGGTAAATTGGAGACAAAGATATCAAGAATATCTGGATTTTTTCGGGCCGAAGAAGGCCAATAGGTTGGATCAGGTGGGGCTAGAACTTTAAGTCTCTTGGTGTTTATATAGTTGTATAAGGTGACTCCTCGGGAGTTATTCACGCGGCAAACCCATGACTGATGCTTGGCGTTAAAATCACCACCTATGATAAAGTTATTATTAAATGAGTTGAAGTATTCGGCGAATTGAGTGTTTTTTATGTTATGTTTTAGGGGTAAATAAACAGCAGCAATGGTGAGTGAAGTATTGTTTAACTTTAGGTTAATAGCACAAGATTGGAGAAAGGGTTGAATCATAATTTAAAATAATAATAATAATAAAATAGCATTAAAAATGTTTCTTGAATAAAAAAAATGCACTTGTGGACATCTTGTTGACAATTTTATTAAATTAAGATTTTATTGTTTTATTTAGTCGTTTTTCATAATTTTTCATACAATAATAATTGAAATATGTGAACTGTGACATTTATATGTATTTTAAAATTTAAATTATTACATTAAAAAATATTTTAATACAAATTCTAGTAAACCAAATGTTATATACTTATATATTAGTATATTATCTTCATAAAACTTAATGTTAAATTTATAACCAAATTAAATTTAGTTAAAAAATTATGAATAATGTGAGACCACTTAGTAATCATTACTTGTACAGATATTAAAATATAGGTAGGTATAATAAATAATAATTTAAATTAATCTACATCTGTTAATCATTTATTAACCTACTCGTATTTACTTTTAAGAATAATAAGAATATTCCATCAAACCTAAAGGCATTAAATAAAAAAGTTATTTTAAAAATATAGCCAAGAGTCAGACCTTAAATGCTATTTTAAATAATTCTCTTTTATCTTTCATCTTTTTTTTCCATCTAGATAACTGAAAGATTATCTTTTATCTTTTATCTTTTATCTTAAACCTTTGGTCATTATCTGTATCCTTAATCTAGATAAAAATATTGGTTATCTTTCCCAACACTGATAATAACTATTAAATAGTTTTGTAAATTATGTTATATCTTTTTGTATGATAATTTATAACTTATTATAAATAGTGCACATTGAGAATAGTACTGTACGTTTGCAAACAAAATAAGCAAATGCTTAGATATATTACTTATAGGGATTTTATATGAATACACCATATCATAGGAAAAGCTAATATTTTACTAAATAATAAATGTATGTAATAAGTGGCTCCTTAAAAGAAAATTTGCGCGTGAGGTCATGGTAATGTAAAGGGAGAGGGTAATATTAATCCATTAGTTAAATCTTTAAGATTCTGAGTATGATAAAGAATGTTCTTTTTAATATATAATTATTATTTGCGAGGCAAAGTAACTAGTTTTATGATAAAAAATCAATAGTGGAGAGAGGATAGAATTTCAAAACCTCGTTCATATTCCATGACCTGACTTAATATAATAAATTATATGTACCCATACATAAATAGGTAAATTAAGAAATTATACATTTCATATGTCTTTCACGTAACTCGTCATTTTAATTAATAAAATGCAGGTATAATTTAAATAATTATAAATAGATAATACAATACATATTGTTTACGTTAAAATGAAATAACAATAAAAAACTAATAACATGCAAATCTAAAATAAGTGCGACCATTTTTACAATTCAGTATTCTGAGTCGTTAATTATTTTATATTAATTAAATATCTAACTGATAAAAAGAATAGAAATTAAATTCGGAACTGTTGCAAAATATCTGAAGCCTTAATGCCTTAACATATAAAATTATTCAAGGCACATCCCTGATCTCATGCTAAATAATATACATTTTACTGCAATCCTAAGATAATTTTTCTTACTGTAACATTGGTAAAATATTTTGTTGCCTGTGAAATAATTAAAAATAATGCACCATTTTATAGTAGCCACGTTATTATTAGATATTTGGTACGCTACTGCACGTCACATCCATAATAATTTGCCAGCGCGTGCTAGCATTCAAGAATTTAATAGTAGAGATATAAATGTCTAAAAAAGAATTTCGATACAAAACGTTCGTACTATATAATTTGTTTTTGATCCGGCACAGCCAATTAATAATTCGTTACGAGATTGAGTCAATTGAAACATAAATCTCTTCCCCCAATCCTCTCGTCTGTTAAAAAATGCCCATCACGTCACAGAGGATTTGTAAAATAATATAACGCGTAACACGTAGAGTCGTGCGGCGTAAACAGGTCCCCTCTCAAACTCCTCGATCAGTCTTCAGGATATTATACTCGTCCGTCGAAGGCCCGGACGAGTAGAGGATCGAAAGACGTTATCGCAAGGCTCATTTGCAATTCACTCGCAATTTTTCGTAGTGCACACGACACGATATTTAACGATCGATCGAAGCGTCCACCATTAATCCCAAGAAAATATGCAAATCCGTCAAAGAAATGTAAATTCATCTGTACTGAGTACCAACGGTTTCTACGATGTTTGTTCATTTAACTGCGATGGCGCCTCGTGTATCGAATAAGATTTCGTTACACAATTGAGTTGTCACACTGCACAAAACGTACACATATCTATAGGCCCTGTGGCAGCGCGTTACCGTATGGTAACAAAAACAAATTGGCGAGCGCGCGATTTTCACAACACCGGAATTCCTCAGCGATTCACACAGGCCGTAATACGTCGCGCCATCTATGTGCGGATCACCGTGCAACCAAAAATGTTGTTTCGCGTACCCGCCTTGTGCACGAGCACCCGTGAATTACGATAACGATCTAATATTTTGATGACAACGTCGACGACGGGTTAGAGGGGTGCAACGTGAAACGTTTCGGGTTTTTGTGTTTTACGCGGACCTCGAAGATACCGATTTTTTTGCCGCCACAACTGAGAAATGCGAAAATCTCGGCCAACCGATAACGGACGGAGGCCGACGGCGGATATTTCGCTCGCGCCTCACTGGTCGCACTGCGCACCGTCGTCTCTGATTGGAATACGCACCGTATCATTTATTTATTCACGATTTTTTTTTTTCTCCTCTCCTAATTTAATTTCAATCCGTTTCCCGTTTCTCGAGTACACGCGCCGTCCGCGGTCCGGATCCACGAACATTTCCATGTTTACGTGATCATTGTTATCGTTTACTTTTGAAATTTTCAATTTTTACCGCCGAGTAACTGACCGAGACCGTTACGTCGTCCGTCCAATCGATCCGTGGTGCGACGATCCGTTCTCATTCTGCACGGTTTCCATAGATGGTCGACGTGCGACTCGTCTTTCAAGCGCAGCGACTGGTAAAACGTTGAAATCGTTGCACCGGGCACACGTACGCCGTGAGTGCGTGAAAACCGATTACGAATGGAGTGGTCTTTCGCTTTACCGTCCCTACGGCGGCGACGACAACCACAACATCATCAACAACAACAACAACAACAACAAAAACAACAGCGACGACTGCTGCATCAGTTGTAGACGTGTGTAGCGAGTTTTTTCGTGTGATTATTGTTGGTGCTACTACTAACTCCTCGGACTCTACCATAAATGCTCCGTCCGACTGATACTGTTCGATTACGATAACCAGGTAGAACTTGAAACCTTTCGGCTCTACTAGACCAAAAACCACTTGTCACTTAGTGATTCAATAATTATGTTGTGTTCTTGCAGGGTGATGGCCGAAGATGTTTCGGAGAGTAGAGATTGGGTGCCTTCAACTTCGGTAAGTCTTTTTCTTTTATCTTTTTCTCTTAGTTTGGTGACCATCATAATATCTAATCCTTCAACCCTAATCATCATTCCGTTGATCCTGGTAGTCTATGATCTGATTGATTGACTAATTTTCCCTGATTTGTTACTATTAACCAAAATATTTGTTACAGTACATTGATTTTGTATTATTTTGTTTTTATCATGTTACCGTATTTTGTATTTTCTAGGATTATCTAATTCAATAAATTGTTATAAGATACTAAAAAAACTATTCAATATAATAATAAAATAAAACCTTTTAAAAACCTTGACATTTAAATAATAAATCCTCGATATACTGACATTTAGTGAAAAATTGAAAAACCAATAGAACTATCTTTTTTATATAGATAGTTAGTACTTATTTATTTAACAACATGAATTGTTTGATTTATTTTTATTTTTATTTTTTTATTTATCAAAACTGAAAGCAATAGTACAGAATTAAATTTATTTCAAACATAACAATTAATAAATAGATAAGGCAATTTAGAAACAAAGGTAATCATTTTAATTTAAATATTTTATTAAAGAAAAAAAGAAAAAATTTTTATTAATTATAATTAACATTCTATTGATAGGTCCATAATAAATTGTAATTTTGAGTATGATGACTGATAAAAAAAAGAATATAATTTCTAAAATTAAATGTCTTAACACTAAGGGTCAATATACCAATAAATTAATTAGTTAATATACATATATATATATATTTAAATTTGTATTTTTGTTTTTTTCTCTTTCCTTCAATAATGCGTTTTCCTTATTTTATTCTATAGTTATAATTCTGATATTTTGTTAAGATCTTACTGTATTTTACTTATCAAACTACCTGTTTATAATAAATAAATATTGCTCTAGTAAATCCATGTCTTCAATATTATTATTTAATAAATTATAAACAAGATTAACATTTTTTTTTTTTATTCTGTGTTTAGATCTTTGTGTTAACGATTTAATGCCTGATTTTAGTCTAAAAAAAAATTCATAGTCAACTGAGTTATTAAATAAAATAAATTAAATTATTTAAATCTTTATGATTTTTTAGGTACATTAACTGTTTATTTTTATTTTATTCTTTTTTTTATTAAATTTACTGTACTTGGTTATATTTTTTATCATAATATTATTTTTAAAAAAGTAGGTTAAAATGCTGATATTTCTTAATATAAGATATTCTTTGAATTTTATTTATTCTTTATTTATAAAAATAAAAGGTTACTTAAAAAAGAATTACCATTATATTTATAAGTTGTATGATTTGTCTAAGTTGATCTGTTATTTTTATTGAATTGTAATGGTAGCAATTATTTGTAGTGTTTAATATATAATATAAAACATTTTTGTATCAAAAAAGTTTTATGAATATGATATCTTGGTTTTGAGAAGTCAGTCTAACTCACTATTTATATTAAAAATTATGTATGGACGTTTAGATAATATTTTTATTTTTCACACTTTACAATTGCTCTCTTTTGCCAATGAAAGTATTTCAACCTATTTGATATTCTTTGACATGTTATCTCATGGAAAAAATTGACTATCTTTAGACATTTTAATTTAGACATTTTTCTCTTCGTATAATAATGTTTTTATTCTTATTTTTTGTACTTACTATACTTAAAACAATAAATTTCACTATTTGATTTTTATACTCTGTAATATAGAAAAATGTATGACAAAATTAAACATATTATTTTGTACTTGTAAGCTTATTTCAAGGCTTATTTAAATTTAATATTTTTGGTTAACCTGGCATCAACTGTCAAAGAGTAGTATTTTTTTAAGTATTAATTACATTTGTGAATCTTTAAATAATGTAGAATTTGTAAAAATTAATTAAATATTGTTCTTGATAAGATTCTGATGGATGATGTTTAAAAATATTATTCAAATGATAATAGCTTCTAAGTTATACTTTTGATCCTTAGTTCAATATTTTTATAGACAGTTAAAATTTACCTTGTTATAACATAACCGATGTTGCAATCAAATATTCACAGTTACTTAACCATTAGTGTTGTTTTGTGTTTAAATTATTGTATAACTTATTATTTTAGTTCTGAATTAATTTTTATAACAAAATGTAAGACCTATAATCTAGACATTAATGTTCTGTTAAAAGTACTTTTATAAATTATATATATATATATATATATATATATATATATATGTATTCTATAGAATTTAAACGAAGTCATTAGATAGTACATTTTTTTGAATTAACCATTTAAATGTAATAGTTGTCAATAACTAAGTACCCAATAAATAAAGTTTTGAAGTAACTAAAAAAATGAATATATATAAAACTATGTATTAAACAGTGCTTGACTTGGCAAAATTAAAGAAGGGGGACTCTGTTAAAAAAAAATTGCATCCCAAAACTTTTTAAGCATTTTAATTATAACGTAATAATAATAGGAGGACGCTATAATTTTTAAAAATTAAAAGTGGTAACTCATTTCCCTGCATCCCCCCACAAGTCAAGCACTGGTATTAAGTATATGACTGGTTATATTTACATCAATTGACAAGTAGATGACCATGATATCACATCAATCAAATAAATTCAGAAATAAATCACTCTTCTATTGTCAGGTCGATGATTTTTTTACAAACTTGCTTGTCATGGCAGAACTTTTCATATATAAATAATAATTCAAATTTTCACTGCTAAATAACAATTTATAGTTTTTATATTTAGTAACATCACAACAAACTGTACTTGTAAAATTATTATAGTTGAGAACATACTATTGTACACATTATATATTTAGAAAGTCTCATTAACAGTAGCTACATTGGTTATTTCCTGGACATTATATTTAAAATAATAATAGTACCTATTGAATAAACGAGATCAGGAATTTTATTATGCGGTCACAAAGTATCAACAATGCATGTTTCCTGTCAATTGGTATGTGGGCTGTGTCAACCACTATAAAATGAAAAAAAAATCATAGAGCAACTAATACTATATCATAATCGAACTTATTTTCATAACTGGATAGATTAAATCATTTACATAGATCTTCTAATTATATTTTATTATTTACGAATGGTGGGTATTTTCCAAAAATGTTTAGATAAGAATTTAATACTTTTAGTCGATCTATTTGTGTTGATCAAAATTTTAAAAATATTCTAGATATACTTAGTGACAAGTTCTAGGAAAAGCCCTACATTTTAATATCGGGGTTAAACTATTATGTTGTAAATTTGATAATTTACAACAATATTTATCAATATTCTATCGCCTTCTTAATGTTATAAGATATTAGAACAATTAAATATTATTTATTTCTTATATTCCAAAAATTTTGTTGTACAAGTTATCATTAAATTTTCAGAAAATGCCGTCGGCCACTGTATATTATTTTTATTCCTGTTTTGCACATTGTGGACTGTGGTACAATTAAATTGATTATTTTATATGTATTTCTTATTAGTTACAATTTAAAATATAGGTCTAAATTCGTATAATTTATTGGATAAATAATGTGAACTGTAGATGCTTAGGTAGGTACACTTATTTATACTATATACTATATTTGAATAGTTTTAATTGTTTATTTTTAAGCATGGAAATTACTTTATTTTAATGCATAAAATAAAAATATGTTTTTTAGTAGTTTTATTTGTAAATTAAATTGTAATTAACTTGATAAAAATATTAATTTCTCCTAACTGTTAATAAGTAGGCTGTAGTTAAATGTCATTAAATATATAAATAACTAATAATTTTTACATAATGGATAAACCGTGTTGTAGACATTTTATAAAGTGACTTAAGATACATATTCGTGTTTTGACATTTTCTAATGATTTATTAATATTTGATAGTACATATTTGAATAATATTTCACTTTTACTTTATTTTTAATATTTTTTATAAAGTTTTAATCTTATTTTTAAAAATATATGAAAAGTAATTAATATCGATTTCTGAATGATAAAACACAAGTTGATATTTTTAAAAATCTGGTTAAAAAGTAAATAAATTTTTTGATATCTTCGTGGTGACATCACAATACATCAAAATGTTTCTGATTCATAAGAGATTATAAGTCACGTTCATATCACTGATTTGTCAGGCTTTCTTTTTATTTCTACGAGCACGAATTGTCAAACATGAATTGCTGATGTCTTTATTAGTATAGAAAACTACGACTAACTAAAGATAATAAACTATAAAAAAAGAAAAGTTTCTTTCTTGGGTAACCTACGTTAGTCATAAGTCATAATAGCACCACGACATCACACTGCTGCAGAGAGAAACATAATATAATAGTACCTTAAGTATTTACGTTTATGCTAACAGCTAAATAAAAATATTTCTATTTTAGTGCAATAAATATATGTATTTATTTTGTATTTTTACTAAACAAGATGTATGAAATGAATTTTCAAAGTATTTATACTTCTAATATTACTAACTATAACTACATACTAATTGTAAATATTTTATTAAAGCTCGTATATTTGTGTAAAATGTTTTACAAAATTTTACTTTGGTCTTAAGTAAGGACCTCTATTTTGCCAACATATTATCTATTAATCTAATCATATTCTTGATAATTAAATGAACTCGGTATTTTTATTTAACTACGTTTAGTGGAAATGTTGTGTGATGATGTGAACTTAATTTAATTTTAAATAATGTAATAAAAACTATTATTAAATTCATCCTATTTATAATAATAAATTTATAACTTACACGTTATATTTCTTAAATATTAAGTCTAGATTATTAAAAAAAATACATTATGGCTAACTGTTAAATTATGATACTGTATAGCTGAGGTAGAGGTGGCCAATTTTTATAGAATTGTGATAGACTTCTGAGTCTTTCTGGGTTGTCACGATCGACGAAAAAAAAAAGTTTGTCACTGAGCAAAAATATATTTTATATACATATTCCTTGTTGTTTTTTCTTCTGTTTAAAATATTAATAAGAAATAATAACTTTTA